TATCTATCTATCTATCTATCTATCTATCTATCTATCTATCTATCTATTTATTTGAAGTACATGCAACATCTGTACTGTACTCCACTGTACATTTCTTGTCATTACTGTTTATTGTTTATGTTCTTGGGATTTGACTCCACAACCATTTTCTTGTGAAAGGTCTCAGTGTTGTGAGCTGGCAGGTAGACGGACGGTTTCGTAGTCATGATAATGATGTTTCCGTGTGTTACGTGAAAGAGTGATATCTGGCGTACGTACACTCCAAACTGCATAAGATATGAACGTATCACATCTGTATCTCCCTCTCGCACATCTTCTCATCCTCAGCACGCTGCTTGGAACTCGACAATAGGCCAAAACCCACAGAGTCGTTAAACATCCACCTCCTCTCAAACGAGCTTGATATTGAACTTGATAGGTGCTTTACTGTTAATTAAGAATGTCTTTTGCCCAAAGGGAGCAACTGTTTATAGACTTGCATATTCCCACTGACAGCAACATTTTCCGATAAATCCATCCATAGCCAAATAAACAGCTCTGTTACCAACACCATGTTTGGAAATGAATCTTACACATTTATGAATGTTACGACACGTTACTCGGTATCATGCATAGCGTCTTGAACAGTGGAATGTGCTCTTGCTCCCATCTTGATATTGATAGTCAAACATAATGTATGTCTGCGTGGGTGTGTGTGAATGCAGATTTACGCGGAGGCATCATTAGCATTTTCTCTCTTTAGGGGATAAGGTAGAGAATGGATGCGGGATGCTTTACATTCAGCACACTGAACTAGTTTCTTTTTAACATTCAGAATTTCACTGATATCTGCCTGCAACCTCTGCTGCTTGTGTTTCTCCCTTCATATATTTCTCTGTGAAAGCTTTGCTGAATAAACGTTTGGGGGTTCTGTGAACATGGCATGCAACATCTAATACTTTTCTGTGCTAAGAAACACGGGGAATTTTAAAACTGCCAAATAAAAAGAACCAGTTATCTACACAACCTAAGACTCGCAGCATTCCCCACTCTCTATGTTTGTGTTTCCCAGGTTAATGTTAGGTCATCTGATTTACGACTCTGCAGCTCACCTGGTTGCAAGTGGGATGTTTGACCAGCAGGTGGCGCTGTCAGATTTGTTTGTCACAAAGAAACCAGACTGAATCTCTTTCAAAACATCAGAAGTCAGAACAGGCCAAATTCTAAACCAAAAAGAAACTTGATGTAAGAAAAAAACACAATAAGGGCTGTGAAAACGATAATGATCTCCCTTTAGCGTTGCTGCCACTCAATTCTCAAATAAAGACAGTACGTTTTAAATGAAATCAAATCAATATGATCCAAACTGATGAGACCCCAGACACAAAATTATAGATGCATTCACTCTCCTTTCAAAGTATGAGTTGCTGTATGGATGGATAAAAGTCAGCCATTAAAACAATGAACCCTTAAAAACCCGGGGAACAGAAACAGGACCCTGGTGCTGAGCAGTGATTTATGGGTCCAGCTGTCTGTGTGTTGTTGTTACTTAATAACCGCCTTCCTCCAATGTCCTCATCCTGTTCACACTATTGTCTCCGTTTCAGACCAACCCAGGCTGGTGAGGTCAGGGCAACATTGTAAAGGATTTCCTCTGGCTCTTAATGATTTCCTGGGTATTCATAAGGGCAACAATGCATTTGGATTTGGTTACTTAACCTGGCGCACGGTTAAAGAATTGCCTTTCAGTCAATAACCAGGACCTTATTAGCTCATGATTAACTTCCATTGCAATGCAACAGAAATGCACCTGCAGTTTAGACATTTGGTGAGATATGCTCACTTCAGCTTGAAGGGATTTAGTCTGTTTCATTTACAGACTTTGTTGTGTAAAGGAAAATAAATAGCATTCTGTTTTACATTTCTAACCGCAAAGAAATATAAAAAAACACATTAATATAGATCCATGTTTCATATATTTTTTTACTCAATTTATTGGTACAAAAATATTACAAATAGACAAATGCAAGATAGAAATTCTCAAGGAGTTAACTCTTCAACTGCGCAGAATAAAATTGAATTTCCACTGAATTTATAAATGAACAAAAAAAAGGCTGATCAAACTGAGCAACTCTACATCATGTTAGCTGAATCCATTTGAATGGGGAAATGATTACAGCGTATGATCTATGAAGTGTTATTTCTAAATTTGTGCTCACAGTAAATCTATTCAGGCCCCGCTCATCACAGCCACATATCAGCCCTCAACCTGAAGGCTGCCTAAACGAGCTTTAATCAAACGACAGGCAACAAATCATTCCAAATTCTGCTCCCGTTGAAGGTAAATGACACGCTGAGAGGAAATGATACCCTCTTGCAGCTTTTCCCACTTCTTCCTTCATCAAATCAAAAGACTTTTAGTGGTCCCCGGTGGTTGGTTGCTGTCACTGGTGCTGGGCCCGGCTCAGCTGTTGCCTTCACTTTGCTGGTTGGCGTCAGAAGGCGCCGATCTCCATGCCCCAAGGCCTGTAAGGCTTCACCATGGTGGAGGAGGGACTCGTGACGCCGACGGCTGCGGGGGAGATGAGAGGGAAGGCGCCGAAGGAGAGGGGGAAGGCCGAAAGCGAGGAGAGAGACGAGAGGAGCGGCGGCGATAGCTTGGATGTCGGCACGGGCAGAGTGAGGGGTAGCGAGCCATTGGGAGGCACCCTGAGGGACTCCGTGGGGGTCAGGACACTGAGTCTGGATGTCCCAGATGAGTCGGTGGATGAGGAGGAACATGAAGAAGAGCTGGAGGAGGAGGAGGAGGAGGGTGGGCTGCTGTTGTTTCTGCTAACAGGTGTCCTGCCCTGAGGGTGCTGTAGGAGGAGATGGTGGGGGAGATGGGCAGGGGTGGTCCCATAAGCTGAACCCCAGGCTAAGTGTTCCAGTCCAGTGTGCACCTCCCTCTGAGAGGCGTAGTTGCTGAGGTGGGACACTAAGCGAACGCGCAGGGAGTCTGTGGTGTCCCGGTCCTCCACGATGCTCAGGTAGCGGGCCGTCTCTGCCAGGCACTCTCTGAAGCCCAGGCTGCGGTAATCCTTAGCAAGAGCATGAGCTTCAAAGAATCCTTCAGGGGGAAAGAGCACAACTGGTCAATACGCATGACAGCCACAGCATTTTTCGCTTTTAGAAGTGACTATTTCAAAGTGAAAACGTTCTCACCTTTCCCTCCCGACGCATGAAGCATCTTCAGGTGGTCCACTGTCATTTGCAAAATCTCTGCTTTTTCCAACTTTGCTGATCCCTGAGTACAGTGGAGAACACTTTAAACAATGCTATTCCCAGTCTGTGTGCTAATATCCTGCAGAAAAAAAAACATGTCTCCATGTCTGGGAAACAGGAATAATAGGAAAAAATAAGATACCTGTTTCTCAAAAGCACTTGGTACCAATCTCCTCAGCTCTGACAGACTATTATTGATCCGGTCACGCCTCCTTTTCTCAATAATCTGTGGAAAAGAGTTTAAAAGGTAAGTTTCAATAGGACTGAGTCACTGGCTGAGCAGAAGTGGATTGGGGCTGGCTCTGAGACGGTCTCCTACCCCTCTGCGCCTTTTTCTGGCCTGAACCTGCGTGGTGGCGGCGGGTGACATCGATCCGTGGGAATCAAGTACGCTGAAATTTAAAGCAGTCATTTACTCCTGCTGCACCAACACCAAAGCACGTGCATGTGGATCTCATAAACAGAATACACAATAGATTACGATCGAGAAAAAAAAAAGTCACCTAAGTGTAAAATGTCATAGAAACATAGATGCAATAAACAACTTCATAATAATAATAATCACTATGAAGTTGACATACCCATTTTCATCACCACTGTCTTTTTCCACCTCAATATTATCGTCCAGGTCGCTGTCGGATGAGCTGTAGTTGTGGCTTCGTTTCATTCTGATCTGTATCAATAAGATAATAAGACTGATTCTCCAAAATCTCCCGCAGAGGACTGTGTGCAGACGCTCTGAGACACGGTGTGGACATCAGACCTGCCTCGGCTGGGGTTACTTCCACGCCGCGGGGAGGGGGCGGGGTTTCAGGGATGAGGGGGTGGGGCTTGGTAAGATTTGAGCCAGTTAAATTCGAGCTGACATCCCAATGACATGTCTGGCGTTTAATAAAAAAAATCTAATAAAAAAAACACAACAAAACAAACTTTTTTCAAGGTAAAATGACCAAATAAAAGGAAAATGATCACGGTTTGCATGTATTTGTTGTATTAAGAATTTAGGATGTGATCTTTGGGCTGGTTTTCTATCTGATTCTGGCCATAGGTATGAGTTTCCCTTCTGAGGCCTCAGGCTGTGATCAGCAGACCCCAGTCATAACTAGCACTCTCCCAACTCTGCTTTGGTGTCGTGTGAGTTCATGCTCCCAGTGAGTTGTTCATTGTCTGCTGTCAGCTGAGTGCTTCCACAACACCCCCAGGAGGCTCAACAAGTCTGTCTGCGTTGCCAGGCTCTCTCCCAGGAAACTCCCCTACCATCCCCTCCAAATCCTCCCCGCTCACTGCCACCAGGTCAACTGACTGCCTGGCACAGGGAGAACTTACCAGTGAATCGTTTTTCCACTGGGTGGGCAAAGGGTGAAAAATGTCCTCTCTCTGCTTTACGGTGGAAAAATAAAGAGATGCAAATGTTTCTAAAAGCCCAAGCTACAAACAGATTTACAGTAGAGGTCTGTCTCATGGAGTCATTTGAAAGACAAGCCTATAGAAAACATAGGAGCTTTAATTGTCTTTTCACTGCTGTGTTACTGAGTTCTTCTGGCATTTTTCTTTGGTGTAGTTGAGAGTTCAGACCCTTATTCAATACTTTGGCAGATGATGAAGCTTCCAGTCTTTATATTAAATGAGTATTCTATACTCATATGCACTTGACTATTCTTGCTTTCATAAACCATAAAAAACAAACACATTTTCTCCTGTATCTTTGTGGTTCTGAAGGTAATGTGGACTAGAACAAAATAATCTTGAAAAACAATCCTTCCACTTTGTTTTGTTTATCTACCGAAGTAGATAACCAGCAGCAATGGCAGGCCCTTTGCTTGGATCTGTTCATGCGTCTCGCCTTCAGTTAATCGAAAATACAGCTTACAAGAACGCATCACAAAAAAGACATCCAGCGTGTGTGTGGAATGTTAATGAAGCCATTTTACTTCAGGTTGCTGCAGAGTGAGCTTCCACTGTGACAGGTGTGAAAAGACAAGGTCCTACTTTACTTGTTGCTCATACAATAAAACTAGGACAGAGAAAGACATTAGTTGGTGATCCAGACACTGCAGATATTCCCAATGGCCAGATGTCAGCGAGTGGTTCACATTTGAAGAGGATTTCACATCACATTTTCACCTGATGGGGGAATTGTTCAACATTCTTTACTTTATCACCCAACATCAAATCATTCTGCATCTGCAGGACCCCAGAAGCAGTCAAAACTCTGTTTTAAATTCACATTGGGGTTGTATGTGTTTATCTGATGCTTTATTTTCCAATGTGCTTCGTGGGTTTTGAGCATGCCTGATTGGGTTTCAGGAAACATCCGGAGATGAGCTTTTATGGTTGAAAAAGGATGAGAAATTGCCGCAGTTACTTTTGCTTTTCAATGTCAGAGAATGTTTTTATCAACGTGTTACACCACAGCATCTGTTAAACAAACACAGTGACGCTGCCAGAATAATTAAAGAAAAAATGACATTTTGTGTGTTAAAAAAAAAGCCATCCTCTTTTTATTACTTGCTGTGTTTACTTCAGTAAATGTGACTTCCATCCTCTTGTTGGCAGGCCTGTTTGGATGAAACGTCTGGGAAATAACTTGAGGTTGGGAATGGGTTCCAGCTCCGAGTCTGACACGTCTGCTAAGGCTATCAGTGGCCGCACAACTTCACCCCTCTGTCATCCTCCAAAACAGCACCTTGTTGAGAAGCAGCTGTTTCTCTGCTCTGTACATCAGTTGTTAACTTAGTGTCTTGGGAACGGGGCATGTGTAGATGAGAGCTTGATTCACGGGAGCAACTGCGGGCCAACACGTTGTGCTTGTAGAATGTCAGCGTGGGTTCAGTGGTGACAGACACAATGCGCAAGCTCCACTCAGTTCTGTTGATGCAGTGAGTCTATGTCTTCTTTTTTCTGTTACACATCAGCAAAGTTGTTCCAGCATTAACCCTTTTTATGATTTTCCATTTCCCTTCTGTGTTAATTTATAGACTTGAAATAATTTGTAATCAGGTGCTGAAACCTGCATAGGTTCCAATGAATTCCAGTATGTAGACAAAGCACATGTAAGTCCTCAAGTCACCGCTGACCGTCCTTTGGTTCATTTATCAGAATAAAGATTCATCTTCCACAAACCTTGACGTTTAGATCGAGCCATTGCTCCACCGGCTGTCTGGTGGAGACAGCAGACCTGAACTCTGCAAAAAGCCTTATTCTGTTTGAGTGGGTTCTATTTTGGTTCACTTGTGTGTGACTGTCATGGATTATCTTTACATTGGATAACTCCAGCAGCATGCCAGCCTGGCTGTTGCTTGTGAGCTTAACGCTGCACCAATTCAAGGAACTGCTCTCGACCATGTGCCAGGAAGCTAAAAGGTATAAGCAGGCATTTGTTTGAAACTGGCGTGTGCCCAGCTGCCTTCCTCAATCTCCCCTCAGGTTTCCCCGGGTGACTCTTTGTGTGCATGAGTGAGTCCCGGGTGTGCGTCGGTGTGCTCGCATGCATGTGTGCGGCTGAGAGTGTGCGAGTGTGTTTAGGAGGTGCTGTTTCCCACAACCCTGATCTAATTCCGTGGTAACTCAATCTCCGTGTGAGCGCTTCCCGGCGAGTGTTCTCCCACCCGTCGACGGTCTCTCCCTGGCTGGCTGAGTGTGTCTGACGGAGGCAGGCTCAGGGCTCCCGGGCCCCCCCTCCCCCCTCGTGTGCCTCCTGCCTCAGCGCTACCCACCCTCCCACCAGGATTGATTTACTGTGTCAACCGTTTTGGCTGTCGGCAGCAGCAGCGCTCACAGCCGCGCCTGCATCCTGTGTGCACTCCATCCCCACGTCTCAGACCCGCCACTCAACAAGCGCCGCCGCGGTGTTTGCGTTTGCGGGCGGGGTGAGGACGGAGGTTGATCTTGGAGGCGCTTTGCGCATGTGAGATAATTTCCTTGATCGTGCTTGATTCACCAAATAGGAAGCTCGGGGAACAAGTTTGAACTTTGCTGCATATATGCATAGGGTATGAGATTATGTAAGGCAGAGAAAATGCCACCCATGCTGGCAGAAACGAGCCGTCCAAGTGGGGGAAATGTCTCCCAGACAGCCTTCGTACAACAATGTTATCCTATGGACCACAGCTTCCTGTCTGTCCCCTCTCTTTCCAGTCAGCACCCAGGCGCTATATTGGGCTGGGACCACACCAGGCCTGAGGCCCATTCCCACCTTCTGACCATAATACGCCCGCCTTTTCATTCTTTACTTTCCTGCCTTTGTTGGCATCTATTCTGCTTGGGCTTTTTGGATAGGTAAAGCCAAGGAGGATATGTTAACTTCCTTGTTTCTTTGTTTAGCCAAAGTTTTGTTTCTTTTTTCCCAAGGGTTGCTCTTCAGGTCAGGATATTGACTCCAGCATCTCCGTGCCTGTTGGACATTATATGGTTTGGAGACAAATACATGAACATTTGTTGTTTTTTTTATTTCATAAAGGTCCAAGCATTTTTTTTTCAATAATATTTACCAGTGTGCTGCCCATTAGCATTAAACTTATGCAAGTTCGTAATAACGGGAAGGCAGATCACAAGACTGGTTCCCGAATGAGCGCAACAGGAGACAGCACGTGATGTCCTCTCAGAGACGGGAGGACCGTAGAGCAAACTACTTTTAAGGCCACACATTGTGCTGCCACAGGAAAAACATTGTTTGCATATCAATGGAGTGCGTGTAAGAGTGTGTTTTTGTGTGTAAGTGTTAAGGTGGAAAAGGATTCCAGCCTAAAATTGAAATGTATCTGCTGGTTAAAATCACATTGAGAGTATTACAGACATTTGCCACGTGAATGATTTTTGTGCATTTGTGCAAAAGTTATTTTGAAGACATGACTTATTTTCTACAAGTTTCAGAGAAAGTAACTAACTTTTTATATTTTATAACCACTTTTTCTGTGTGCGGTTACATTTACATAATGCAATTTGAAACAGAATCTGATTTCTTATGAGTATAATAACTAGTATTTTTATTGGAGAGGAGATTCTTAAAGGTCGAATTTATAGTGTCACAAGTTTATAAAAAAAACAACAACTGTCTTTTGAGAGCCGGCTTCTTTCCCAGTGGATGCTCTGTGCCAGCTGTCTGCTCTGCAGTGAAGTACTGCTTTCCCAAGCTCTGACCTGTGGGAAAATCTGTTGTGGCCAGTAATTGATTCCGCCCTGCCAGCCCCATTACTCTCCACTGCAGTCAAACTGCCAGTGATCTGCAGAAAGCCTGTTAGCACAGTCCCTTTACCCTTTCCTTCTCCCTCCACACTGACACGGACATGCGTCAGATTCCCAGCAGTTCCTACTGTTGGCTTCATCATTCTTTCTGTTTGTGCAGATTCCTCCAAAACGTATTTCTCTCCATTTATAATACAACCGCAGCATTTTAGGGAAGCAGAGTATCTTAGGCATAACAATGAGCAGGGATTCAACATTCAATTTCAGAAAAGTGTTGCTTACCTTTGTATTCCGTCATCTACTGTTCAAAATAACATTGAAAGATTCAGAGAGTCTGCATTCAACGCTTTACATAGGACACAAGGCTAAACATAAATACTGAATGCCTCCTAATCTTCGGGCCCTTTGGCCGTGCTTCAGGGGTAATGACATGATTCCGTCATGGAAATGGCTGTACACACCCTGGAACAGTTGCAGAAATCCCTGTCTGTGTACACCGTTCACTGTATCATCCACAAAGGCAGTAAAGCTCTGTGATTGAGAACAATATGTGAATATGATCCTGCTGGTATGAAAGATTTACAGCAGCATACACTACCCTCAAGATTTCTTTTAGAGGAAAGCCCAGACAATACTAAACCTCATACTGCAACTATAACAGTACACGGCAAAATAGAAAAGTCTGGGTTCTGAACTGGCCTGCCTACACTCCATATATTTTACCATTTGAAAAGGTTTGGCACATCGTGAAAGGAATGCGACAAAGAAGACCCTGAATTGTTAGTATCCCTAGACCTTTGTTATATGTTGCCATATATATATGTTGCCAAGATTATCTGAACAGAACTGAGCACATCCCTGCATTGGCCACAAAAACAGTTTTTTCCAAAAATGTATTACAATTAGTTAGAACCACTAAATGATATCAAGTAGATGGCTGTTAAATTATGTTGATTTATTAATTAGGTGTTTGCATGAGTGAATGTGGGCATTGCTTTCAAAGCTGCACAAGCATGGTTCATCGTGCTGTTTGTTTTACTTTTTTTTTTTTTTAACTGTGTAGTGACAATAATGCGGATTCAGATTCCGGCCATCTCCACCTTCTTTGAAGCTATTAAGAATTTGAATTGATGTACGGTTAGAGAGCACGTGACAGTTCATCAGGGGGCCAGTTAATAATACATCTATTCCGCTGGAGAGAATGAACCCGCTGAGAGCTGCATGGGGGACCCTGCATGTGAGACCCCCCACCCCCTTCCTCAAAGTTAGTCATGAAATATTAAGTGCCGTCATCTGCTGAGATGGCTGAGTTGCTTGTCACTGCCTAACGGGCACCACATGTCCAAATAAAGGTAAGTAGTCCCCCTTTCAAGTAATCATCAATTCAATTTCTGTTTTCTTTTTACATATGTTATACTCATGTGATGACTGTGACTGACTTCTGGCCGAACTGTTACCATGGCAATACTTAGAACCCAGCCTATTAAATGCAATACTAGAGTAAGAGATCGAAAATATCAGTCCTTGTGATGCAGACAGACACGAGTGACCTTCCGCCGAGTGATTTATCAGGGGTTCTCATGACTCTGGTAGGCTTTATATAACTACCAGCTGAGGGGTGCACTTTCCCATATTTTACAGGGTCAGGAGGCCACCCTCAAAGCACTGCGGCATTTTTTTTTCACACAAGAATTCTTTCTCACTGTCTAGTGATCTAAGAGAGCATAAAAGAGGAGTGGAGAACTGTACACTATGCATCACTTTAGTTCCTGGTGAACTCTGCACCCACTGCACTCTGCACCCGGCGATTGTGCCCCGTGAACAGCTCTTTCCCTGCGCTGGCAGAACAAGCCGCTTCTCTGTGAGAGGCAGCACCCCCCCTCCCTCAGCTCTCCCCCTCCAGCTCTAGTCGGTGTGCTGCAAACCAGAGGCCTGAGGCGCAGGGAGCGTGTGGGATGAAGGGATGAGAGGCAAGATCAAAGCGGTAAGCATGAAAAAGCTCAAAGCACACAAGCAAGAGGAACCTCCCTGACCTCTACGCACACACACACACACACACACATGCACACACACACACACACACACACACTCTCTTCATCCCAGCCACTCAGAATGAACGGCGCCCACCCTCTGGTTTCCCCAGCAGCCGTAGAAAAAGGCAGAGAGGAGAGGGCACGGCGCACAGGTCGTGTGAGCCTTTTAACAGATGCTTTGGACCTGCTGGGGAGCCTGACCTGAAGTGATGCCCCCTGCTGGTGCCAGAGGTGTGGCTCCCACCTGCTGCATGTCACACAGCACACATTGTGCTGGAGGACAACTTGTAGTTTATTTCAAAAGTTACTATTTTAGTAAAGTGTCATAGTCTCTTTCAAAATAGAAAAAAAAAAGGTTTTTCTTAAAGATAGTTACACGTTAATTATCTGTTGTTTTTACAGTTGCAGTGCAACATTTGAAATGATGAGAGATGTAAGGTGAGAGATTCACCAGTTGAGCAATGTTCCTTAAGAAGATGGGGAATTGCTTGATTAATTGAAAGTTCCGATACATTTCACTAAAAAAGGTCAAATATATGTGGCAAAAAGTAACCCCCTTTTTACCTGCTGCCTTATGAAGCTGTAGTTTTACAACAAGACAAGTTAGACTGGCAAACTCCTCCTTGGCCTTGAGGATCGTCTCTCCATTATTCATGAGTGATCAGGTTGGACCCTGGGAACAAGCTGAACGAGGCCCTGTGTCAATACGTAACACTGGCCACCACAATGGGCTCTGCCTCCAACTACACTGTTGACAGACACCAACACAAAGGAGCTGAAAGGGGTCCCCCTCCGTTCTCACACACACCGAAGAATGAGTCAGTGTGCTGCCGCTCAAAGCTGTGTTTGTACAGTATATACAGCTTTTGTCCATGGCCACTGTTCTCCCATCAATAGGAGCTGAAGTGTTGATGAAAACCAGAAGGAAAGGACTTCTCTGTGGATGCCAGCGTGAGTTCATGTTCATTAGCCAGGCTCCTTGCCTGCTGGACGGCACCTGTATGCACACAGAGAAACCCCCGCTGACAGGAACACAAGCATTCACCTAACTGAATCAAATGGATAAAAGCATTCCTGAAAATGGTCTAATCATTCAGATGACCGTCACATCACATGTGTCATTGGAAGTCATACGTTATTGATGATTGGCACCATGACATTAAGCATTGAAGCCACGAGTCCAATTAGTGTCATTCTGTCTCCATACATTGATTCAGGATGTCTGCTTTCATACTGATGGCAACTTTTCCATCATACACAAAAAGATAATACATACCCTGATAAAAAAAAACTTTTTCACATATTATGCTCACACTCTTGGGACCAGATAGGGCTTCATACTGATGGCATCCAAAAGCAACTCTAAAAACAAAAGTGTTTTCCTGCAACCAATTATGCGTGATAACGCCTTTCACTATGAAAGAGGCTGTGAAACATGAGCATGAACATAGGGAGGTGGCAGCAGGTTCTGTTGTTTGAATATAATTGATTAGCTGTAGTCACCAATTTGTATATATTGATCATACACTGATATAAACTACTAAAATAGTAAAATATTTTATACTCAACCTTACTACACCTGCCACCAGGTACGTTTAGTGTGTATTTTAGTTATTTTTATGTTGAATGTGGACACATGAATTAGAATATTTATGCATATAAATGTTCTAAAAATTGGGAAATATGAAAAAACAGAAACAGAAACATTGTGAATTGAAATTAAGCCAGAGGGCTTTGCAGGGTCACTTATACTAGATTCACATGTTGTTCTTTTAAACAAAAAATATGAATGATTTAAACTAGTGTACACACTAAGACGACAGTTATATAAACTTTGTCTGATCTCACAGCTGTTTCTTGCTTCTTATGATCTCTTTTTCTCTTCACTTACGTTTTACAGCTGACAACACTGGGGGGCAGTGTATGGACGTTTATCGTTATTTTACAGCATCGATAATATATATTAAATGTATTTTAGATGTATAAATAATCTATAAATAATCATTTATAATGTATAAAATGACTTTAGGAACTATCAAAAAGTTGCAAACCTGCATGCTCTATTGGCTATAGTCCTTTTTGAGTGTTGTGTCTGGTTAGAACTGCCCAAAAAAGTTATTTCTTCATCTGCTCACATGGCGCCATCTTCTGGTTAAGATGGACAGAATCAAATTAAGTTAACAAGACCAAAGAATGTTCTTAAGGAAATGCCACTTTCTTCTACTTTTGAGACTAAAAGATACCTCACAAGTTCTGTTATTGTCATATTTCAATCCGGATAACCCCCCTTGCGTTATTAAAAGGTGATTGTAAGTAAAAGGTTACAACTTGGCCCATTATGAATAGTAATTCAAGTCTTAAAATTGCCCACATAAGTTTAGGATTTAGCTGGATTCTGATTGAATCGGTGACTTACACGAATCAGGTGATCTTATTTCAACAATTTGAGCTCCCTAAACTAAATAAACCCAAACGTACCCATTTTGCTTAGATCACACACAGAATCAGAACCCGATTTAAAGACCCGCCTCTTAATCGCCTTATTACCATGGCAACGGCAGAGCCTGCAGATGATTGGTAACCCACGCTCAGGCAGGCTCTGGCCCGGGCCTCATATACGGCTCACAGAGCTGCGCTCCCCAGAGCATCACCGCTGGAACAGCTGGGGTTCCTTCACTCACGGGGCGTCCTGTTAACATCATGGTCGAGCAGTTTGTTGGAACCTGGACTTTAATTTCCAGCGACAACTTCGATGAGTACATGAAAGCAGTCGGTATGTTGCACTTTAATAATGATTTCATTAGACGCTGCAATTCAGAGTTCTCTGGTGGGAGACCCAACCCACGTGATGTAGTTCTTTTTGTTTTACAGTTAGGATTATATTAAAAAATATGATGGGAGCTGCACATGGGTCCTTTTTTGCGATCTTTTTATTGAAGGGATGAGCTTTGCCTCTCGGCAAATGGGCAGCCTGGCAAAGCCAGACCTGGTGGTCAGCCTGGATGCGGATGGGGTCATTAAAATAAAGGCTGAGAGTACCTTCAAGACCACCTCCATAAAGTTCAAGCTCAATGAAGAATTCGACGAGACAACTGTGGATGGACGAAACGCAAAGGTGGGAAGCTTCTTATGGGCGGGAAATAAGTTACCTGACGTTTGATGCTAACCCCCCCCCCCCCAATTCTTTTAAAGTCTATCTTCACCCTTGAGAATGGAAAACTTGTGCAGAAACAGTCGTGGGATGGAAAGACCACTACACTTGAACGAGAAGTTCAAGATAAAAAACTAATAGCAGTGAGTACAATATTTTCTACACAACGCATATGAAAGCACAGGGTCCACATAATCCACCCATATTACTTGTGCACATGCTTACATTATATATTGATACCTAGAAAAAATTCAGTCATGATTCATGCACGCCCACCCTGCTCTTACATTTTTTTAAGAGCAGTTTAAGTTTAAGCAGTTTAAGACCTATTTCTTAAGGCACATTTTTCTCCAAAAGCCTGATGAGAAGACATATTTTTGTAAATCAAAAATCCATCCACCCCACAGCAAAGAAAGCAGAGTTTAAATCCAACAATAAACCCATTTGCAGATCAACTTTATTTCAACCACAGGAGGGGTTATCTGCAGATATTTAAAGATAACCTTTTGCCTTTTTGAAAGCTCTGTAAATTGTTTGAAACCGGATGTCTAACAGTTTGTCTCCTGTCTCAACAGAAATGTGTCATGGACGATGTCGTTGCCGTGAGGACTTACGAGAAGTCGGCATGAGACTTTCTGATTTGTTCCTTGACCTCTGGTAAACTAAATGAAAGCAATGATTTGTTGAATAAAAGATGCCAATAAAGTTTTTGATTACAATACTTCAATCTATTCACTGGTGTTTTCTGGGCCTAACTTTGAGCTTTTTTTGGTTAATCTTTCAAATGGATTCAAGTGTCACAGTCTGTGGTAGACTATTTAATAAAGAATCATTTGGTCTATTGAAGGCAACTTTACATGGTGCTTGTGTTAAATAAATAAGCGAAACCCTACATAATAGAGCATAATAAGCTCTGGTAAATACCTAAATGACTGTACTTTAAAATCCAAACTAATCGGACGCTACAGTAGGCCAATGAGCAACGACCTAATTTTCATCCACTCTAATGGCTTTCAGTCCAACGCCACTTCAAGCTTTAGTGGTTTGCACCTTGGCCAGCTGCCGATTTTAAAAACAGTTTTTTTTTCAAGTGGACATGATCTGATTTGTTTAAATGCTACATATTTAAAAGGCAAAAAAGCTGTAGGCGTACAAAGGCCTTTTGTTGCAACACGCAGGCCTCATGACAAAGATGTGAGTGAATGGAGAGGTGTGTGGCCAAATCCCTACTTGGGGTTTGTGCTGTGACCCCAGTTTGCACCAGTCCTCTTGTCTTGGATACTCAGATGTAGAGTTCAAGCAAGTGCACATAATTTGTTTTAATTAGGGCTCTTTGGAGCAATAGGTTGGGGCGCAAATCCTCAAAGATTTCCAGGCCGTAGAGGAATGCCTGTAACCCCAGGTGGTTCTCAAGCAAAAGCAGATGCTGTGATATGTAAATCCATGCTAAAAGCACATTGGCTTTTTAGAGAACATGAGCAGTTTATTTTGTAATTCAGAAAAGCAAGCCAAAGCCATTTTCAGCAGAGTAGCTTAGCTGCACGCTCAGCTAGGAGTAAGAGGAAAAAATGGAGGTCTTCCCAAATAATTAAACATGTTAAGAAACCCTATTGTTAAGGATTAAGCCTACTTAGGGTAATGTGGGTGCAGACTTTAAGAAGCTGACTTCCTTGGAAATGGCTTTACCCACTTAAACACAATCACACCATCAGCTGATAAATTCTTGTATTGTTCAAAGTGGAATTAACCACCCCTTGATCATTATAAAACAACACAGTAGGTACATACAAACAAGCTTTGTCTTAGTTATTAATTCAGTCTTGTAAATGAATGGTAATCTCATGCTGAGTATGGATTAGTCATTTTAGAATATGTACTCATAATACATGTTAAATGATGATGAATTATTTAAGCTGTACAAAAAACAGAATGCAACAGTTTGCAAATTCTTCCCTTCCTTTACAAAATCCAATGCACCACAAAGACAAAATAGTGAAGGTTAAAACTGAGAAGGTTTTTTTTTCTCCAGTTTTTAAATTTGTTTAAATTTGATGGCTGCACGACACATAAATGTGGGACATGTGCATAAAAAAACTAGAAAAGTTGAGGAAACCACCTGTCAGGACTTTTCCACAAGTCAACAGGCTAAGTGGAAAACATGCAAATGCCATGACCGGATATAGAAAAAGCATCCCTGAAAGTCTCAGTTGTTCAATAGCACAGAAAATACGTTGTTCTACACTTAAGAAGAGAATCCAGCAGTTCTATTAAATGTTTAAAAAATGAATGGTAATATAATCCTTTTCAGTCTAGAATATAATAAAAAGACACAGAGAATCCAGGTAAACTGCTGTTCAGATGCATCAAAGTTGAGAACGAGCATTTAATGCTTGTGACCTTTGAGTCCTCAGGTGCGCTGCATCAAAAAAGATTCTGTCGAGGATATTAGCGTCTTGATAAAGATTTTAAAAGTATTCTCTTGTGTTTTTATTTCCAGTTTACAGAAAATCCTGACTTAACTGGAATTAGAGTTTGTCAGAAGAATGTAAAAATATGTCTCAAACTGCTTCAGAGCAATCAACACTCATCAATGGAAGCCTCAATCAGCAAATATTTACAAAAGTTATTTACAAAAATGTATGGATTTGCTTAAACAAATAACCTTCTAAAACAGTAAAGTGAAGTAGTTATAAATTACTCAAATCTAGAGCTAAAAAAAACCAAAAACGTTTTTTAATCAGAGCTAACATTATGAAATCTGTTCCTGCATTGCTTTGTAATCAACCATAACGTGAACTTCAGCACCTCGAATGATGTAATGGAAATGCAGGTTCTGCCTTGGAAATGCTGACCTCTGGTGGCTGATTATGGTATGAGCAGGGGCCTATTGGACGTTACCATTATGCCATGTTAAGAGGGGGCACGCCCTCCTTGCCACTGTCTCATTCAAATGTGTTTTCAACTTATTGCAAGCAAATAACAAGATACACATTACAACTTTACTTTAGAATAAATGGCATCAGTCTCGAAAATAACTTATTCTGGTTTTTAAATTATTTTTATTCAACATGAACTGATCCATAGTGACGTTCCGACGTAACACAGTGCACTAAACATGGCTGACAAAGAGAACACAGCAATGGAAGTCGATAAGGGAAGGAGTAAAGCTTTTGATAAACACGTTAAGCCACAGCTCGACAGCGTTGCCCAAAGAACTGACAACAAGGGCAGACCGGAAGACAAGAAAGGCCACGCTGAAAGCTGTGCCACAGCGGAATACTGCGAGAGGCTGCAGGCATGGATGTGGCAGTATTACACTGGATATGTCAACTGGCAAAGCTGGCTGGCAGCGTCAGCCATGTCCTGCCCTTATTATGTCCAGCCTCCCAGCGGAACCGCAGTTGAAATCAATTCCCATAACTGGCTAAACAGTCCGTTTAGTCTCCCGCTGTCGCCTTACTCCCATGCGGCCACCTCCCCGGGCAGCCGTGTGGGAGAGGCCGCCCAGCCCCAGCAGCAGCAGCCGGCGGTGCAGGAGAACGGAAATGCCCAGAGACCAGGTAACGCTGCCGGTTAGCTCCGACTGCTCAGCGGTCCTCTGGCTGTCCGAGCACCTCTAACACCCTCAACCTCTCCTGGAGGATTTAGTCTAAAGCATACAGACCATGCCTTCTTCAGATCAATTGGTAGTCAGGTCTAGACCATGTTTCTATTAACAGCTGAATGTATTTTTCCATCATATATATGCTCAATGTGCTCGATAACTGAACAAATTCAGCATAAAGTAAAGGTATCTTTAAGTTTGTTTGCCATCAATAAGTCAGTCATTATGCTTTTGCAACCTCTTATACGTTTCAGTTGAACCCAACACATATTAGCTGCTATGGGTTTTTAGAGAAGAGAACAGAGGCTGTGAACATACCTGGAGAAAATATACCTCTGACCATGGGCAAGAGGTGCATGTCCAGGGGCAGAGAGGGTATATTTTGTGAAAAGCATCCTATAGGCAGAAGCATTTTGTGTCAACATAAGGACCTTGACTTGATGTTTGTTTTTGTGGTCCTTTCACCAGGCCGGGAGTATAGCATTCCCTCACCTTTGCAAAGACTAATGGCTGAGATGGTGGATTTTTTCATCTTGTTTTTCATCAAAGCGACCATTATCATCAGTATTATGCACTTCAGTGGTATCAAGTGAGTTAATTAGCATTAAGGATGGGGGGGCGGGGTGAACGTGTGCTCTTATCCCTGAATTAACTGTATACACATGGGGTAATTATTTCAGTCTGTACCTGTTTCACTCCTTTTCAGAGATGTCTCCAAGTTTGCCATGCATTTTATAGTGGAAGAAATCGATGAAGACACATCAATGGAGGAGCTTCAGAAAATGATGCTGGTTGCCCTCGTGTACCGGATGTTAGTGTGTTTTTATGAGGTGAGGGTGGCTTCAAACCTTTCTCTCTGCCTGTGTTTTCAAACTGTGAGACAAACTAAATGATCAAACTTTTCACCAAGTTAAATAAAGTCTTCAACACCTTCCCACTCAGATTGTGTGCATTTGGGGAGCAGGAGGAGCCACCCCAGGGAAGTTTCTCATCGGACTCAGAGTCGTTACATGTGACTCATCAGTTCTGGTTCAGCCCAACAGGGTCCTCGTGGTGCCTGCAACTAACGTCTCTCTGTCGGCGTGAGTAGCTCATTGTGAAGATTCTCTTACTGAAGCTTTGTTGTACGTAGACCAATGCAGCCTTTCATCATGTAATCAAAGAACTATATGTGTGTTTCCTCACAGATCAACGGTGCGAGCCTTGAACAAGAACTTCTCGATTGCCTTCTTTTTCCCAGCCTTCATCACGCTTCTCTTCTTCCAACACAACAGGACTGTGTACGATATGGTCGCTGGTACAATTGTTGTCAAGCGGTCCAGGCTCAGATGATGCAGAAGTAGACAGGAGAGGTTTCCACATTGACTCTGAACAGAACTCAGACCCTTCTACGTCTAGAAGAGTGAAATGCATCAATAGGAACTGTTTCAGGGTTTTGTTTTGTTTTTCTGACACCCACTGTATTCATGTAAGTCTACATGCTGCTTTGAGGATCTGTTCCTTTGCCAAATGTCTGCTTTGAACACAGGAAGAACGATGGAAAATGCCCCTTTTTTAATGAACAAAGCTTGGCCTTGTTTCTCATTATTCAAAACATTCAGAATGAATGTGGAGTATCACATGGTATTGAAATGGCTGAATTTGCATTTGAGATTTTACCCATGGTATCTCTTTGTACTGCACGTGTTTTCCAAAAATGTTGGGTCTCTGTGTCAAATGTCAATGACAGAATGCAATTATTGACAAAACATTTAAACCCTGTATTTAATCAGAAATGTTCCATTTAATGGATGTGTAAAACTTTTTTTTTTATGAAATGGAAGAGTTTGGGAGCTAATATGACCAGTCGTACTTGAGAACGGATCTTACAATTTTTTTTTTGTAACTCTAAATCTACATAGATTGACTACAATAATGAAAGATTTACAGGTTAACAAGTAAAATTATATTAATGATTTAACTGCAAGGTGTTTTATTTAATTAGAATTTCATAATGTGCCAAATGTCTTCTCTAAAATGAGCAAAAGACATCTCATGTTGCATCTCAGCATATGCTGATCTTAAACGTGTTCATTAATCTTAGATACGTTAACAGATTTTTACATCACACATACAAATTGCACAAGATTCAAAAATTTTAAATACACTAATTGACTAGCATACTTTCCACAAATATTTGTTTTTTCCCCTCTGTCCATATTAAAAAGCTGGAAGTGTTTCGTTGGATCTTTGCATTGTAACTTTAGATTTGCAATGTGTTTCTGGCAGTGTTTTCCAAAAAATATTCCTGAGTTCAAACATCTGTTTGTTACAGCTTCACAGTTTTCAATCTTCCATAGCTTTCTTAAATTATGATATGCACCAAAGATGATGAAAACCCTCTTTTTACAGCATCATTTTCAGAGAGTTTATACTGGAATTTTGTAACTATCTGCCCCCATGATCCTTTAGATTATCCAACACCTCCTCATCTCCTATTTCCTTTGTACTCGTTTACCTGGTCATGTTACTCACTTGTCACAAGCTTTCCTGGATGCTCGACATCACTATATGGTAACTGATTTTTTTTCCTGCTCCTCTGAAATCTGTTCTTGTCATCAAATTGAACATAATTATGCATTTTAAGGTAGCCCCGGTATAATTTATAACTGAATGTGGAATTGAAATGACCAGCTGGTCATTGCTTTCTGTTTTTTTACCTTGGTACACAATGTCTCATCAGTTTTGGAAACCAATTTTTAGTATTTGTACCAGGACCCCTGAAATGGTGTTGTTCAGTGGGAGTGATGCACAATACTGGGCTGAAAGGCTCTGGGTTAACAGCACATTCAAATGCAGTGAATGAAAATCCAAACCCTATCAATATTGTTCTTTACTCAGACAGAATGCACGTGTCTTGATAAATAATTTTGTTACTGACATGTTTTGCATCGAAGGAAATTAAATGAAACCACCACCATTTCCATGATGTATTTATTTACTATATAAATCTGTGCTCTGCTTGAATCTCCTTACAGTTAGTTGATCACAACTTATGGGAAAGCATTGTTAGAGAATAGAAAAACGTTTATTCATTTAATGATTATATATTAGAACAATTAAGTAATAAAAGTTATATGTATACATACACATTATACATTATATATGTGTACACAGAGCATGTCACTGCAGACACTGACACTTCTTAGAGGTACTAAATGCAAATAATGCCTCCTCAAAGAGGTCATTTACTTGAATTGTGTTAACTGAGACAGACTAAAGCTGTTTTTCTTCCACTGGCAGGGTGCCACATGCCCTTCTTACACTTCTGCCATTCAATGTAAACTTAAGTCTCATACAGAGATTCCTTCTTCTTGGCCAACATGTATTTGTATGCAATTCCTCTATCATCAAAGAAAGGCAATGGCTCAATTTGCCTGTTGCACAAATCAGTCTCCATTAAATGAAAAATGAGGGGGCCATTTTCTTTCATACTCTGAGATTTCTGTTATGTCACATATATCCTCTTTTGGAGGGAACTGGAGAAGCTTCACCATGTTGGCAAGTGTTGACATGGTGACCGTGTTAGGCCCACGAAGTAGCAGCTTCAGATGACAGCCACAGATGGTACTGCCAGATTACAGGGTGACCCCCCGCACACGCATCAGGCTATAGGCGCCCGATTCATATAACCCAGAGACATAAACTGCTTTACTGAAAACTAGATAATGACAATAAACCACCAGAACAACTGACTTCAAGGTTTTCCTCAGTTTACAGCTGAGACTTATTGGAATCTATTTGAATCTGATTTGCATACAAATAAGAAATAATCGGCTATGAAGCTCAAGAGGAGGTATATGAAAACTTTCCATGAAAAAATATATATTCCCATAAATTAGTTTTGCCTCATAGTTTAGCACTGAAGAGTCTTGATTATTTGGAACATTGGTGACATTTTGTAACTCTTGGCTTGTACATGGGAACATGGCATTAACAACTGCAATGCCAAAGGTGATGCCCTAAAGAAAAGTGGCCCCTTTTGCTTTATTTGTTATTTGCCTTACGATCCTAAGCTTACTAAGGAAGAGAACAGGGGTGTACTTGAGGGACAGAAGGAGAACTGGCTAGAATGTAATATTCTCCTATTTTCTCTCCTGTCCATCATTTGGTGTTCAATGCCAAACTTCAGGAGTGTAAAAAAACATTTCCTTGCTGCCACATGGCTTGACATAAGGTATAGAGTTGATGTGGTGTCCAGCATGAGTTCCTGCCACCCTTTCTGGCTCTTTTAACAAGAGAGTCATCCACAGGCAGCATAGAGGGCTCACGGCTTTCTCTGACAGCCATGTGTCTTATGTCTGAACAGTGCCAGGCACAGGCCACAGGGATGGGCTAAACAGTCTGGCTTTAACTGATCTAAATATTCTCATCAAATAACAGCATTAGCGTCATTAAGGTCATTCTTTTCTCATTTGCTTTTTAAGAATTAGAGGATGACAGCTGCTTTTCACCCACACCAGCAGACTCCAGGTGTTTTGAAGTGTTGGAAAGGTGACGTGGGCTGAAATGCTGCTCGTTGCGGTCGTCGCTGCTTTTCCTCTCCCACAGTGTCTGTGCCTGTTGGTATTCCTCTCAAGTGGAGCCAGTAATTACAGGCTGGCTGAGTTCTGTCTGAGTGGAAAGGGCTGTAGATGAAGAGGAGACCTGTTGACTTGGGAGGGAGACGAACACCAACGAGGCACGATACAAACACACTTTTTTTTTTTTTTTACCTTTGCTTGTCTTGAGCTTTGGACACTCACACTATTATTGTAGTGTTAAATGAATCGACATGGGGATCAGAGTGATATTCAACATTTCTTTCAATTGAGATTTGCATTCCATATGTAAGCTGTTGCTAAAATGCAAACAGGCACTTCTCGCCCTAACCATTTAACCATTTTTCCTAGAAAGGCCATACATTAGGAATGAGGGGAATGAATAAGAGTGAGCATGATACAGTTAAACTCATTTAGTGGAACAGTACATTGCCCAAGTGCTTGTAAATTTGAACCGTTATAAAAATAGACATGAATGTGAGGTGAGAACAAACTCAGGATGAGAGATGGAGGCTGTGAGTGTGTGTGCTGGATTAATACTGTACAGCTATTTCCTTTAACAAAACAGCAGGTTTATGGCTGTTTTTGAATACAGTACATTTCCCTTGAGGCAGTCACTAACTGGAGTCGTCAAGACAACCAGGGATGCTGCTTTGGTAACTGCATACAAATTCAACCTCTTTTCCTTTTCTCAAATCATGGTGCTTTTAGGTAGCACAGCGGATTTAGATTTAAACTTGCACGTTTGATCAAAGAAAAACAAAGTACAGCAAACTCCATGATTTCCCTCATGTGACGACAACAATGATTTGAAGTATTCGTTTATGATGTTATCAGGTCTTGCATTGTTTAGAAGGAATTTTGGCCCACTCTCCTTTACAACACTGCTTCCGTTCATTGAGATACATAGCCACAGATTTATTTTGCACAGTGCTCCCAAAAAATCCCAACAAAGGAATTTAGTTCTCACTTTAGGTCGGAATTTTAACTGGATCAATTCAACACCTTATTCTTGCTTCCATCCAGGGTTTGTTTTCCTTTTCCTGGTTTCTTTTTAGTTTGGGATCCTGGTTATTCTCAAGCAAAGAAGCTGTAGTTGGTCAGCCTTTTTCAAACAGAACTGTAAACTTCCAGTATGCTCACTCAGGCCTGAATTGTCTGAGACGTGTGTTTTTTTCTCCTCTCTCTCTCTTTTTGTTTTAGTTTCTATGACCTTGACTTGAATTCGATGGGATGTCCACTCTCACAAAAGAATAATCGAAATGGCCATCAAACTGAGTGGCAGTAATGTATCTTGTCTAAGATCACTTTTGGATCTTAGACACTTTGAATCTTTATTTCACATACTTTTCTCTTAAAGAGCATGTAAATACGAGAAGATTTAGTTATGTCCTGATTCAGCACTGCCCTGTATCTATGCAAAGTCAAAAGACACTCAGTGTGGCTGGAGTCAGAAAACTGCCCCCTGTTGGTCTTATCTGGTATTGATCTCAAAGTAGACAGTAGGAGTGGATCGGCTCTGAGGTCATTGAGGCTATTTCAGTCAGTAATGGTAGATTTCTTTCAGTTTACAGTCATCTTTTGGTTTCACAACCCAAATGCAGCTCCTTTGATAACATATAGACAATTCAGAAATAGTAGTCTGTCATCACATACAAATAACATTCATTTGTGCAGGAAGGTTTTAAGTCTCTATTACTCATTTGTTACCATCTTAAATAGTCTGGGAATCTCCTGTGAAAACATTCAAAACTATGATTAAAATCAAGCATTAACTTTGCTTCCTTGCTCCGCATTTTTTAAATTCAATCTGGTGTGTCTGATTCATTTGGTTCATGTGCCTGAACAAACCCTTCCGAGTTCTTTCAGTGGCTGTATTCCTCCTCCGCAAATTACTCCCACCCAATCCTTTAGTTGCCTAAACTATGTTCTGGAGATGTGCGTAAGCACTGGCTTTCTATTTTCAGCTGAATGAAAAGAGTCTTGGCACTTGGACTCAGGATGAAATCTGTTTTGTTCTGCTGAATTTGGCTCCCACCAAATGCACAGTGCCTACATGAAACAGTGCAAAGAATGCAGTATAATCATGACCTACAGGAAAACTACAACTATTGGGCTGAGAAGCATGACTTTTAAGTTGCTTATTTGATATCTATTGTTCCAGTGCAATGTTGTGCTTTTTCCTTTACACAACATAATGACAACATATTTTATTAGGAGTGCAAGAGAGATCCGATTTTCTGGCAAATAGAATACAGCTTTCTGTGGAATGTTTTAGAAAGAAATGATGTTGAAAGTCCTTCTTATTGAATTGTTGTTGATCTACTCTTCCATTACTAGAATCCATTGTCTCAGCTGTGAGTCATATTTCCTTTTGGATGCATTGCAAGAAAAACATTCAAACCTTGAGAGCTACAACATTTCCCAACTTTGTAATGTAAAATGATCAACACAATCGTCAAATGATTGCGAGAAAAATATGATGAACCATATTTTACAAACAGTAGTACATACTGCAACAACTCCTGAAATCTGAAAGAAGTTTAATGTTATACCAACTGTGTGACTAAGGTTATCTTAAAGTTTTGATCAGATCCTGTTCAGGGTTACTCTGACTTCACAACTAGGCTTCTATAATTAAGCCCAAATGTGTACAATACCAGCTTCTGGAAACAGTGAAAGCCGAGTAGAATTAATGTTCTTTCGTCTCCGACAACAGTACATTTTTTAATAAAGAAAGGTGAGGGTTGGTATCACCTGCCTGCTGGATTTGCTGTCCTTTTGGTCTTTTCATTAACTGCTGAATTCTCCAGCTTTCAATAGGCTCTTTCAGTGTGTCATGCTACACCACCATTGAGCTACAGCCACGCTGCCACCCATCTTTCTTAATGGGGACTAGAAACTGTGGAGCTGCCTTGTTGCCATGGCAGCAAGTGCTTTCACATTCTCTCCACATAGCGTGGAGTATGCATGTTGTTCCTTCCAAAGTCGAGTGCGCCACGGCAGAGACAGGTTTGCTCTCAGGACCGAGTTGAGTTATTTACCTCCCGCTCCCATACCACATGCCATGATCCCACCACCCACACGCACAGTTCCACTCTCGTTTTTATAAAGTATGCTGTTGGCGCTGCTCTCACATGATGAATTTTGCTCCAAAATGTGCCTTTCATATGTCTTCAAGGTTTCCTGTTGTTCCTCTTATGAGTTTAGTGTGAACCACGGAACCGAGGGGTTACCCGGGGTTAGCTGTGCTCCAACAAGGTGCAGCATTCTAAAAGATGAATTACAGTTTGAGAGAAAAGTTTTTTATGTAAAATCATAACACAGGTTTTGGGCACTCGTCCCTCATCTTATAGGTAAACAAGGTTTAGACTA